GAATAACTCGAATGAGTTTTTGTTAACGCTTTGTTATGTTATATATAAATTTAAAATTTTGAATGAATAAAATAAAAATAAATAAATACATATCTAAAAGAATGTTCACTCAAAGAGTACGTCTGTCTTTGTATTTTAAGAAAGTTGGTGGTCGTAATAGAATGCGTTTGTAGTATGAAACTCAACTAAAGTTCAGTTGTAAACTAACAATTCCTATTCTTTGTCTCAGTAAGTAGATCTCAATGTTTCTTTTGAGAGAGACATTCCGTTGTTGGTATTACTACAGATTTAAAATATAGTACAATAATATTACCGAAAATGTGGAGATACAAATCATTGTTTAATCATTAATAATAAAAAATATGAATGTTTAAAGAACACACTTCAACGGGTTAAAACATATTAGTATAGACCAATATTACAAAGTTAGAGTTTCTCTTTCTGAAGGCTTTAGGCTATAAAACTCAAGCTGGCACCAACGGAAGAAAGAGACAGAGGAAAATGTCGAAAAAAACGCGGAAAAAGCATCCTTGAGGGCTTCCATCGCGTGCGCTGCGGAAACGGTTTAAGAAATCAAAAAACTCCGTATACAGGAATGATTTTTTTTTCAATGATCTAAAAAACGACCGCGATACTATATGTCTATCTTTTAAGATTAACTCACAAAAACAACGAGACGAGACGTCTTTGGTAACTATCCTTACTAATATTATATATGCGAAAGTAACTCTGTCTGTCTGTTACTCTTTCACGCCAAAACTACTGAACGGATTTGAATTAAATTTGGTACACAGATGGTCTAGACCCTGAGAAAGAACATAGACTATTGCGAATGGGTTGTAAGGAGTTAAAAGGGGGGGGTAAAAGTTTGTATGGAAATTCATTTTTGAAACTGGAACAATGAAACTTTCTTCTTTGGCTTTTTGGAAATAGTAGTGAGAGTTAGAGTAGGAGTTATGTGAGGTGAGAGTGTTGCGGCAAAGTAGCACTAACAACATAGATTGGCTGCCTTTACACAAATTAATAAATAGCCTAGATAATTAAAAATACTCCAAGTCACTATTCAACGCGGACGAAGTCGCGGGCACAGCTAGTCATGCTTATTGAATGCAAATCATTTCATAATGAAGTGAAGCCAGTATTTGGTAATGGGCCCTAAATACCGAGTTTAGCATAATCGATGCGGGACAGCCTTCAAACGGCCTTGAAAACAAAATTATTCGGGCGTATTTCTTTCGGGAGCTACGTCTAGTGTATTGTCAACCCTCCTCCCATTGGGGTATGAGGCGATCACATTTCAGGATCCGTTACGCAGATTGATTGTATTCACAGGCAAGTTGATCAGGTTCAGTGCCCTGCCCGACCGAATTATTAGGTTTCGTACCTTTTGATCCTACGCTAGGTAATGTAACTATTTAGATATTGACGCGTCAGATTATGTTAATCGAAAGTATAGTTATTTAAGCCAATTAATATAAGTTTCTTTTTAATTTCAATATAAAGACATACGAAATAATTCTAAATACTAGATAGAGTACAACAGCCGTAATTGAATGGTTTGAATCCAGAGGATATAGTTGACCAAGATATAGCCTGTCTATAGTTTACGCGAGTAGTACACATTTAAATAAAACACTTTAACGGTTTAAAACGCGATATATTAGTTAAACTTATTTGAAAATGATTTTTAACTTCGGCCCGACGTTTCGGATGCTTTGCAGCAGCCGTGGTCACGGGGAGACTAAAGATGGAGGATGTCTCTGACGTCAAAGTAAAGAATTGCTACGCAATTCGCAAAGTAAAGAATTGCTACCGTTAAAGTGTTTTATTTAAATAAGATATAGCCTCTTTTTTTATATTAGGGTAATGTTATATTGTGAATTAGACTAGAGTTATATTGCTGCACGACAGGAAATCGAACCCCTGACCTCTCAAATGAAAAACATGTGCAAATAACAGTAACAACACTGCTCTAGACTATGCAATCGACGACACGCGCGAGACTTGAACTGGCATCCTCTGTAATCCATGTTGCTCCTATAATCAATTACTTCCTTTGACCTTCTTTATCCCTTTGGTACAATCTCGTAAATTAGTTAAAATAAATATAGCCATAGAGTGCATTATTTTTATGATAAAGGAGGACAAGGAGACAAGTATATGGTTTAAATAAAACACTTTAACGGTTTAAAACGCGATATATTCGTTAAACTTATTTGGAAATGATTTTTAACTTCGGCCCGACGTTTCGGATGTTTTGCAGCAGCCGTGGTCACGGGAAGTATAGGGTTAATTTGATGGTTAAACCCAAAACATCTAAACAAATGCGGTGTCGACCCATTTTGGCTTAGAATATTTAGAAAATCACTGACAGAAATCGAATTTAAACTTAACAGCTTTCCATTTAAAAATCGAAAATAAATTGTAAAAAAATTTTTTCCGACTCGGGCAGGACTTGACTTTCAACCTTAACATGAAATTACACTGCGCGAGAGGTGCATGTATCGATAAGTTGTAAAAATTCGACGATGAGGTGTAGGACTCGGTAGCTCAATTGGTAGAGCAACAGCACGGAAAGCTGACGATGCCGGTTCAAGTCCTGCCCGAGTCGAAATTTTTTTCGATTTTTAAATTATATAGTGCCTTCATGTGCAATAACATGTGAAAAATATTAATGTTTTCAAGCTTTTTCATTTGTGGACGGAAATTCGATATTTACCACCCATTTAATATCCAGATTTCCAGACAAAGTCCAACATTTTTTTGGAAAAAATATAGATTGACAAGCTGTTTTTTACTAGCTTTCGCGTACAATGGTAATTTTGGGTATCCAAATTTGTTTTTGCTATCTTCATAAATTTAAGCTGTTATCTACGACATCGGTCGCGTCCCGTCGTTCGCAAGTTTAACTAAAAGATAGTGGGGCGCGGACATTTCTTTAGATCATTTAAAGAGGAATGATTTTTTCATACATATTTTTTGGATTTCTTGAACTGTTTTCTCAGCGTACGCATCTGAAACCCACAGAGATGAAAAATTTCCCCCGTTTTGTTCACATTCTATTAGTCACAGCGCAATGTTGTATAGCCTATAGTCTTCCTCGATAAATGCTTTAACTAACACAAAAATAATTAAATTCGAACCCATAGATTAGCCATTCCTGAGATTAGCGCGTACAAACAAACAAACAAACAAGCTTCAGCATTATATATTATTATAGATAAGAAAAATGTCGGATCCGGTGGGGATCGAACCCAACCGTTGATTGTTAGCCATACATTGCTAGCGTTGGACCAACCGTCAATAAACCAATTAAACCTGAAAGCGGCTCTACAACATGAGGGTCACAACCAAAAATGATCAAAGTAATTGACAAACGCTGTATCTCTCGTCGATTTATCTTTCGGCTACTGGTAATTTATTATTCCCGCTGACTTGAACCTCAAATCCATTAATTTTATTATTTTACTGTCGCCATCTATTCCCAGTTTTCATTTCATTTATATTGATGATTTGGAAACGAACGATACAATTGTATAGTTTAGCCAGCTGTTAGCTTATATTGAACTATTTACAAACAATTTCTGTTTTAATTCGGTGCCCATATTCAGCACTATTATATTATCAGACAGGTCTGAATCGACTAATTTTGGTTTTGTACATTCAGAAGTGCTTCGCATAGACTATCACTTTTAACGTGACCCTTACGAAAATTTGCTACTCTCAGACATTTTAGGGTTTTTTTTTAGGAAATTACAAATTAATTTCTGTCTGTAGTTTACGCGAAAAGTACACAATGGTGTTAAACGAGAAATATATAAGTTAAACTGAACAAATTATTTTAACTACGACCCCACAATTCGGATGATTTACAACAGCCGAGTCTCCCAGTAAATACATATTTATTTTATTATTAAAGGTCTACAAAACTAATTTAATTTACAGACACGGTTTAAATACAAAGAAAAATCTATATAAGAAGCTTATAAGTATGCAGACACGTCATGCAAAAAGTAGACGTACAAAGTTAATATTAATTGAATCACAAATTGCAATGATAAAAGTCCCCTAGTTATAAATATAGGTATTAAATTCCGCACTGATAAAATGCTTTCTGTATTTGAAGATAACCCCATTACTAGCTGCCCACACAGGTTTAATTATGAATACATTATGCAAATAACTTATATTAGGGGCACATACGGGTCACCGTAGGTCCATTTTACCCTTAAAGGTAATGTTTTAAGCCCCAACCCATAAAATGGCGACTGCTGGCCAAAAATTCTATCAAAACATTCTAAGCTGGTATGTGGCACGTATTCATAATTTAATAAGAAAGGAACATTGCGCAGATTTAACTGAGCCTGTAGATTAGTAGTTCATAATGAATACAACACACTTAACGGTTTCGAACACAACATTTATTTGTTAATGTTTATTTTAATGCCACCTACACGGCTATTGAAGCAAATTTAACAAACAAATGTATATATCATGTTTTAAACCATTATATATGTGTATACATCTACAATGTAAATATTCATAAATAAAATATTATCTAATAAAATAAAGTTATATTATTATATTAGGTATTGCCAGTATAAGTTAATTATGCTAAAATATATTTTTTTTATTAAATTTGTGAATTTTATAGATTTTGATTTTAAATTTTTCACAGAGCTAAATATGTATTTTTTATTAATTACTTCAAAATTGCTGAATGCTTAAAACAGTAAATGAAACTTTTGTATATACATTCGTTAGGTGTGAGAATGGAGTTTTATCTATACTTTTGTGCCTCTTACATTTATATACTCCCAATAAATAGGTTACTCTTTTCAACTAAATTAATATCTACAAATAACTGATATGACGATACAACGCTTGTCGGGTCTGCTACAATTCAATATTGATACTAAAATAAACCACAGTCATAAAATAACAACTTTATTTAATAAACATTAAATACATATTCTATAAATAAATATTTATATTTAATACTAATTCAGAAGATCGCCCCTAAAATCAGAGCCGTTCAAATCAATAGACTGCCTCATTTGCAATCTTGACTCTCCATAAGGATCACTAGATGCAAACCATTTCCTATACAAAAATAATCCAGTAATGGCAGAAATTGTTACTATAGTTAGTAAAACTGTTGTAACTATAACCGTCGTGATAAGAGACGTATTAGAATTATCTGGTTTGGGATCTGTTCCTTGTTTCGAAGATTCAACTCCAGTTTCATCGTCATAACCACACTTAATACCATGGACATTGTCTTCATGATACACTTTGTCTATAGACGTTATCTCTAATTTGCTAGACGGCGAAATCTGTTCGTTTGTAATAAAGAACTGGAGTCGTTTCACATTTTTCACATTGTTAAAACTACGCACAATCTCTTTACATTTGATAGGATTACCTCCCAGACTCAGCAAGCTCAGTGTAGGTACTATAGTAACTACCTTCTCAATATCGAATTTCTTTATACGGTTATAGTCTATGATTAGCTTCTTCAAGCTGAGACATTCGTGAAAAACGTGCTCGTCTATGTCTGATATAGCATTCCTAGATAGATCTAACACTTCCGTTCTATGCAACCCTTTGAAGGTGCCGTAACGAAGATTAGTTAAACCGTTTGACGATATGTTCAAGAGCTTCAGAATTTTCAAGTCTTGAAAGGTGCCGGGTGACAAAATCGTTAATTTATTATTACTTATGTCGAGCGATTGCAAATAATCAAGGTTTTGAAGAAAAGTGTTGTTAATTGACCTCAACGAATTATTGCTAATGTCTAAACTTACTAAGTCTTTGAAGCAGCTCAAATTCATAGAAGAAATGAAATTAGAAGCCAGATTTAAATCTGATAGTTCTTTCAACGTATTTGTATAGATATTGTTGAAGAATCTTATAGTATTATGCGATAAATTAAGTACGCGAAGACCACGGAACGTTTGAAATAAAGGCTTTGTTACATTTGAAATTTGGTTATGGGATAGATCTAAATATAATAATTCAGATAAATTTGCGGTCGGTACATCTGTTAGACAATTATTGTTCAAGTATACTGCTTTAGTACCTCCTATAGATGAGTTATTTAAAACAAACGTTGTTAAATTATTGTAAGAAACATCCAGGCTGTACATATTGCCAGTTGATTTTAAATTATCTGGATCAATAAAATCAATATTATTGTTGGAAATATTAAGTCTAGTTAGAACCGGCATATCGATAAACGCTTGTGTCTCAATTTTTGTAATTTTGAAATTGCTTAAATCTAGAAATCTTAATAATTTAGCCGGACTAAATACATCTTTTTTAACTGGTCCAGATATCATATTTCCAGACAAATACAGATATTGTAAGCTATTCAGTGGCAACGACATTGGTTCTATAGTTACAATTCTATTCATAGAAATGTTTAGCTTCGTTAATAAAGTATGGTTGAAAAACAAATCTTTTTCTATAATTTTTATAATATTATCATTCAAATATAGTTCTGTTATATTTGGAAGAGAATGTCTTAGAAAACTTACGTCACCTATATTGTTATGTGAAAGGTCTAAAACATTTAGGTAACTTGTTGACAAAAAAGATGTATTATGCACAAAGCTTATACGGTTCGTACTTAAATTTAAAATTAACAAATTTTTTAAATCAGAAAAAGCATTTTCCCTTAAATCGTGAATTCTCTGGTCACACAAAATTAGTTTCGTTATATTGCCAAGGCCAGAAAATGTCGTTTGCTGTATTACCATGTCTATTTTATTTCCTTCTAAATTTAAGTATCTTAGAGCTGTGTGTTTAAATACGCCATCGTGCAACTTGGTTATGTTATTATTTTCAAATGTCAGATAGTCAAGTTTCGCATTATTAACGAACATTATGTTTTCTAGCTCCGATTCAATGCAATTATTGCTAAAATCTACTTGAAACAAGTTGAAGGCTTGCGTAAAACAATTTCCATCGACAGTTTTAATTGCATTGTGAGTCATGTTGATCACTTGTAGCGAAGTTAATCTATTCAACTCGTAGCCGAACACCGCGGATATATTATTGTAAGACAAATCCAAATAAATTAGCGATTTCAAATTAATCAGCGTCATGTTTATAGAAGTTAATAGGTTATTTTGTAAGGTGAGGCGATATAAATTAGACAAAGCCCCGAACACATTGTCTTCTATATGTTTGATATTGTTATTATTTAAGAACAGCTCTTCCAAATTTGGTGCATGATCGAACACTTCAGATGATAAAAAGATAATTTGGTTGGACGATAGATCGATCATCTTCAGATACTCCGAATCTCTGCCTTCTACAGTCATCAGACTACGTGCTGATAGCGTTTCAATGGCATTTTTCGATAGGTTCAAGCTTTGTAACGCCACTAGATTCTTAAAAGCGAAGTTTCTAATATTCTGAATATTGTTATTGGATAAGTTGATCAGTTGCGTTTTAGTGAAGTATCTAAAAGTGGCTTCTTCGATATTCAGCCATCTGTTATCTTTCCCTTCGATGACTCGAACGCGTGAATCGAAGTTTGTCGAACCAAAAAATCCAGCTGTCAGTGTTTCGACAAACGAACTTTTTACCACAAAAGTGACATACGGTTCGAGTTCGCAGGATGGATTCGGCGCAGAGCCGGCATAGTGCTCGCATTCGACGGTGTAAACACAATCGTGGACTTCATTAGTCATCAGGCAGCTGTTTGTAGCTAATACCAGGTCGATATAAGCAGCGATACCTGGAAGAAATACTAATATTATTGACTTATTAATTTAGATGTTACTCTTGATAGCGTGTGTTCATTCATTTCATTTATAAAGGAATTGTTATTTTTAACCGTGATGATATAATAACTGTTATTTAAAGTTTAGTTGCCTTTTTAAAGTTTGTAGCTTAGCTATATTTAATTGTCAAAACTAAATGAAATATAAATTGGATTCAATTAAAGATTTAAAATCTGCTTTTTTATCTACTCAACTGAGCAGTCTAACGTGGCGAGATAGTAACCTCTCGTTCGTAATTTCGATAGATTTTACATTTAATCCTATACATTGTGTTCAAATAAATTGTATGTCTATAGATAAGTGTATGAATTACAATGTCGAGCGTATTTTAAAATAAATATACACACTTTTTTTTTGTCATCGCTAAAAATTTAAATAACTTTAGTCTACTTTCAGTATTTAGATGAAAGCGTTTAACGTCATTGTAAGTCATGTCTTATAATTAACTGGACTACATAAAGACTTGTAACTATGTAAAATAATAATTATATATAATAAAAATAAAAAAATACTTACAGAAAATTACTAAACTGTTTCTTGTCATCTTCAGCTGTGATTAATACACTTAAATAATTTATTCTTCACTCTATGACATTCCGAATTAAACTAGATATAATATGTCGCTGTTACTCATCTAAGGAAACGGTGTCGACATTACGCGTATCGTTGACTGAATAAAATAACGGTTACTCACACTTTTTAATAGAGATTATAATAAATATATATTGTATCGCAATTATAAAATTATATTTACTTTTTTATACATTTTTTGTTATTTATAAAGTTGCATCTTAGTAAGATCAAATTGATCTTAAGTTTTTATTTTTTAGTGTGTTAACGAATTTTGTCGTGTTGGCATTTGATATCTTTGTAATCTGTATTATTTATAAAACGCACAGACATTACATATTAATAAGGAAAAAATTATTGCATGTTTTCTCTCATTCTTCTTATTTTGTTTTCCTTTTCCTTCTACAAAGGTTGCCTGTAAGTACCGCCTTTGCACGAACTCTTTAATGTAAATAATTAATTTAGGATTATTATATATGTATTTTATTAGTTTGTGTAATTTTTTGACATGTTTTATCCAATTATACAAACAAAATGTGAACATATTTTCGTTTAAAGTGTTTTATTTAACACGAGGATTTCTTTCAAAATATCAATAGAATATCCATTAGTTTTTAGAATCTAGTTATGTTTTACTTTATAGAAATCGAAATTAAAACGTGAAATCAACAAGATACATTGTTTATTTGGCTTCATATTATTGAATTATTAATATTTTATGAATATTTTTTTTAATATTCAGAATATTGTGGCCAAACATCTGTGTCTAACCCGACCGAAACTTGTTATCCTATTTCCCTAGGAATTCTTAATGCCTCACGCATTTAATGCAATTTTCGTAAATGGTTGAATACAATTTGAGGTAGTCCGTTACTCAAATACTGTCTGTAGTTTACGTGAGTTGTACACATTTAAATAAAACACTTTAACAGTTAAAAACGCGATATATATTAGTTAACCTTATTTGAACATTATTTTAACGCCTACCCGACGTTTCTCATGCTTTACAGCAGCCGTGGTCACGGGGTGTCTTTCTGTAACTAATATATGACGCGCTTTAAACCGTTTTAAGTGTTTCATTTCAACGGTTACTCAATTAATATAATGTAAAGGCAACTCCACACATTTCTTTGTTCAACATTACACAGGATATCATTATCTGGGTGAGGAAGAGATAATTGCATCGAAACAATGGACAAGAACTGTGAATGGTCAGTCGTGTGTCATTATGACTTTTAAATTATAAACAGTTGTATAAATAAAAAATTTTAACGGTTTAAAACGCGATATATTAGTTAAACTTGAATTTTTAACTTGCTGCAAAGCATCCGAAACGTCGGGCCGAAGTTAAAAATCATTTTCAAATAAGTTTAACTAATATATCGCGTTTTAAACCGTTAAAGTGTTTTATTTAAATGTGTACTACTCGCGTAAACTATAGACAGTATTTACTACCTAAAATTCTTTGACTTAATATCCTGTGTGCCCTGGGGTAGAGGGCGTTCACAGTGGTCTTCCATAACGATCGGTATCCAGCTTCGCGTTTTAATATTGCTCCACGTCTTTCTCACTTTCTTCACCTGTATGCCGCCAGGATTGTTTGAAGCGATCACGTTTGCGCTTTCCATAATGATTCCAACAAGCGTCTGTTTCGGAATACGATTGGAATCTCTACGGAGTGTGTGGCCAACACATTTCCATTTCCGGCGTTTAATCTGCTGCTCGACTGGAGTCTCGTGACAGCGGTGTTGAAGACGCACGTTTGATATTTTCTCAGGCCAGTATATGTAGAGAATTCGGCGATAGTGGCATTAACCAATACATGAACTTAACCAAATAATCAGGTAAAAATAGTAAAGTTTTACGAAGGTTTTCTGCTAAATTAAAAGACTATAGATAAAAAGGTTATGGTAAAACATCTTTAACCATTTATAACGCGACTTATAGGAGTTAAATTATTCGGCCCGACGTTTCGGATGCTTTGCAACAGCCGTGGTCACGGTGGGACTAAATACTGTATGTCGCATTTGAAACCGTTATAAGCGTTTTATTAAAATACTTTTTGTGTAAACTTCAGACTCATAAGAGGTGTCCAACTTTATATTCGGCGATTAAATATTACATGCTTTTGACTTTTCGTGGTTCGTTGGTGTAATGGTAGCAATATTACGGCTAATCCACGGATTGCGGACTGCCGGGTTCAACATGCTTCTAATCTATAATATATCTAATTTGGATTTTCGTCTGGAAATGAATAGTAAATGGGCGGTAGGAATATCTTAATTTCGGATCACGAACCACCATGTGAACAATAGGTCCTTGACATATGAAAAAGTTTAACCGCGTTTCTGTTCCAATCTGTTCATTTCCGAATATCCAAAGCCAAAATAGTTTAATAGCGCATCGTGATTAGATGTTATATGGCCGGGGTATTTTACCTACCATCAAGGGAATTACATGCTTGTCTGTCAGTAGTTCGATACATTATCTATAATTACAGACATGTACAAAAGAATGAATTCTTCGCCGTCATCGGGTGCAAACGACTAAAAATAATCTAGGCTTTCAGAAAATAAGCCTTCGTGCCTCGGCTGACAAAAAAAGCGATTGGAGCGCCTATCCGCGATAGCGTCTAACGAACCGGTTTGTGAGCGAAAACAACAGCGATCCATTACGCTTGGATAAAGCCCCGTTTAAGCTTTGAAGCTCACATTTCTGCTATCCTTAAAAAACCTTAGTGTCCCAGGGCTTTTACGGTAACGCGTTTAAAACGATCGCCGCCGCGACAATCTTTATATCGTGTTTTTTCACGGCTGAAGTTCGAATCTAGGCAATTTTATTATTTTAGCTGTCCTTTAAAAAAAATATTTCTTTTTTAAAGGACGGACAAGCGTAAAGTTTATCTAGGTGAGGCGATACAGATATATAACATCTAAGCACGATGCGCTATCGACCTATTTAGGCTTTGGACATTCAGAAACACACACATTGAAACTGAAACACTAACCTATAAAACTTTGATTTATTGTCTATAGACTAAAGCCAATTTTTTTCGGTCGTCGGTTCGGTCGTCCAAAAACATGTCGGACCCGATGGGATTCGAACCCACGACGTGTTGATTATGAGCCATATTACTACTATTAGAGGAACGATCCTGTCGTTGTTATAACATTTGATTTCGATTGTAAAGTTAAAACTATAAACTATCTAATTTTATTAATTAACAGTTTTCATATAATATTTAAAACGTTTGAACGTGTAATTTTTTGTGTATTATATTGTGTAATTGCTTAATTTTTTTTGCGACCTAAAGTTGAAATTAAAGACAATTCGCATTTGTAACCGTTAATAGTGTTTTGTTGTTAAGCGAATTCAAAAAAAGAACTTCTCAATTTGATTGATATAGATAACAGGTATGTGCCTTTTTAAATGTGTGGGTTGTTATAGGTTTACCTATAAAAGGACTTTTCCTTTTAAACTGGCAAGGTTTCCTTGCTTCCTTCGAATGGGTCTTGGGGGGAATATCGTCTGAATCTACACAGTACAGCGGAGATGCGCTATATTTATGCGTTAGGTACGATCGTGGGAGCCATTAGACCACCCCTTAAGAACGGATGAAATTTAGTAAATAGCCCGTCTAAATTTAGGGCCCATTAGTTTGAAATATTATTAGTGACTTGTTGAATATGTTAGAACAAAATTGAAATCATAGACAGAGGAGCTTAGCTTAGCTAGAAACTAGAGGCTGTCTTATCATTCTTAGATGTTAAACGTTAAGTTAACACAAAAAATGGTTCTTGCGAGTTAATATTGGAAAAAAGACATATATATCTTTCAGAATCGTTTCTTTTGATGGTTTCTTGAACCGTTTAATACACGTGACGTTATGTAGCTGTCCTCAATAAATAGTCTAACCAAAAAAAAAAAATCCAATTCGAACAAGAATTGATCTGAAATTAACTTTAATTAAATAAAACACTTTAACGGTTTAAAACGCGATATATATTAGTTAAACTTATTTGAAAATGTATGTTTAACTTCGGCCAAACGTTTCGGATGCTTTGCAGCGGCCATGTTTACTTACACATTTATATTTTATACTATGTACAAATTAAAATAAAGATCTGCTAGACAGAACGCATCTTTATTCTAAGTAATTTTAGTCGAGATGTTTGGCGCAAACTTGAGTTTCACTTCATGTAAGTAAAGTACCACAGCCGAACAACTAAACAAGAAGCGCGGTTGACCTATTTTAGCTATGACTATTTGGATTACCACAGACTGAAATCGAAACGTACTATATTATACTTCACGGCTTCTTCATCTGTGGCTGTCACGAAGTTTTTGTGTTCCAAAATTCCTTAGAAAATTATAACTTGATATATTTTGAATTTAATTTATCGATCAAAGACATGTATAGAATATTAGACATACATACTTACATACTTGACTTGTCGAAATATTTTGGACGCCGTGGAAACCTAGAATCAGTAGATCTAATAAATCTATGTATTTCTTATTATTATTTATTTACCAAACTCATTATTATGGTCGCGGCGATCGTTTAAAGTTTAAGTATTTGAAAATATACACTTTGATACCAATATGCCACTCAGCTAACTTATTTCTCATTTATTATAGCTTTTTTATTTATACCACCAGAGAAAAAACATATAATATTAATGACGAAATGTTTAAGTACTAACTTCCATGAATTAACTGAAAAATGCATTTGAAATATTAATGTTGATTCCAATAACACAGGATTACTACACCGCTTACACAGCTAATTCTGGAATATTCCACTCTAAAAAATCTCCAACAAAGCCTTGAAAGCCTTTCCCGTTCAAATAATTCAAATGGCACACTTGAGTATAAGTTTCAATAAGATATAACTTCCGCACTCACATTTCTAGGCACTGGGCTGACCTGGAAACCTAATTGTGAGCTTTCTAGAAAGACGTGGGGAATGAC